AATGATCTCCAGAACATAGATGAAGCCCTCCATCAACCATTATCGTCTGCTACCAATATGCAGACGATACCCAACTCCTTCTGCGCCTGGAGCCTGGAACAACGTCAATTCCAGACAATTTCACCCTATGTCTGGAAGCTCTGTCAAACTGGCTACGTGCTAGCAGACTGAAGGTGAACCCGGCGAAGACAGAGATTCTCTGTCATGACCGCCCGGCAGGTCTGACTCCTCCATTACCCACCTTCGATGGTGCCGCCCTATCTCCATCGACCACTGTTAAGAGCTTAGGTGTCATCCTGGATTCACAGCTGACAATGGAAGCTCAGGTCGCTGCTGCCAGCAAACAGGCCTTTTTCCATCTACGACAAGCGAGGCAACTGGCACCCTACCTATCTGACGAGGCTCTGGCAACTGTCATCCATACCACGGTCACGTCTAGGCTGGACTATTGCAACACCCTGTATGTGGGCCTTCCGATGTCTACGATCTGAAAGCTTCGTATTGTTCAGAATGCAGCAGCCAGGTCACTCACAAGAATGCCCATTAAATGCCATATAACACCAGTGTTNACTGTCATCCATGCCACGGTCACGTCTAGGCTGGACTATTGCAACGCCCTGTATGTTGGCCTTCCGATGTCTGCAACTCGAAAGCTCCATATTGTTCATAATGCGGCAGCCAGGTTACTCACAAGAACACCCATGAAATGCCATATAACACCAGTGCTGCAACATTTACATTGGCTTCCAACTGAGTACGGTGGCCTGTATAAGATGCTAGTTCTGACCTTTAAAACTCTTTACTGCCAGGGTCCATCGTACCTTAGGGACCGCCTCTCCTTCTCCCATCATCGGAGGTCACAACAACCAGCCCAACGTGACTTACTCCATATAGCAGGTCCTAGAGAAGTGCACTTGGAAAGGACCAGGCGCAGGTGGGCTTTCTCCATTTCTGCCCCTGCCTTGTGGAATTCCTTGCCGCCCTACATGAGAGCCATGCGTGACTTCGGGCCTTTTACTCTCGCACTTAAGACCTGGCTTTTCACTAGAGCATTTGATCTCTGTTAATTTTTAATTTTTGTATGTATGTATTTTATCTTTTATAATTTAGCTGTAAATCGCCTGGAGCATTCTCGGATGGAGGGCAATTAATAAGTTATTAAATGATGATGATGATGACGATGATATGGCTTTTAAAGTGAATTTTAAATAGTTTAACTCTACTGATAATTTAATATTTTCGAAAATATAACATTGTGAGAATGAGTGTCTGAATTGGAAAAATAACATTCTACAGTGATCCAGAATGTCTTTGCAGCAAATGTAAGTGTTTGGGCTAAAAGAAGTTGAAGACCAGAAGAATGAGTACAAAATGGAGAAAAGCCACAATACATGATGGCGTGGAGGTTCTGGCAGCCAAAAGCAAAGAGGAATATCTGAACCATGAAGTGAACTTTACCTACTTGATGAATGAAGAAGATCAAGGACTGGTACCGTCAAAGAAGTAGAGCGCTTTATTTATTCCACGCATTTTTACCCCGCCCTTCTCAACTCCCCCGGGGGGGGGACGACTCAGGAGCACTTTGTCATGATGGATTGAGCATGGAGTTGAACATGAGAGATTGTCCCTTCAACATGATTTATGAAGCATGGACTAAGTTAAGAACTAAGTTGTGGACTAAGTTGGAGCCCCCAGTGGTGCAGTGGGTTAAACCGCTGCGCTGCTGAACTTGCTTACTGAAAGGTCACAGATTTGAATCTGGGGAGTGGCATGAGCTCACGCTGTTAGCCCCAGCTTCTGCCAACCTAGCAGTTCTAAAACATGCAAATGTGAGTAGATCAATAGGTACTGCTCCAGCAGGAAGGTAACAATGCTCCATGCAGCCATGCTCGCCATATGACCTTGGAGGTGTCTACTGACAACGCCAGCTCTTCAGCCTAGAAATGGAGATGAGCACCCCCCCCCCCCCGAGGCAGACACAACTGGACTTAATGTCAGGGGAAAACCTTTACCTTTACCTGGCAACCAAAAGTGAAGAATATCTGAACCATGAAATAAACTTTACCAACTTGATGGATGAAGAAGATCAAGGACTGGTACAGTCAAAGGAGTATAGCCCTTTGTCATGATGGATTGAACATGGACTGAGTTGGAGGGGAACATGAGAGATTGTCTCTTCAACATGACTGATCAAGAATGGACTAAACTGAGGAATAACGAAGGAATAACTCCTTGATACCAGAGAACCAGAACCAAGACATGAAAGGAACTATGAGATTACATGAAAAGGAACATTATGTTTATTGTCATAGAAGCCATAGACTAAAATTGCTCCTAAATGATATGAAAGGAGAAACCCTCCTCCTCCTCTTCCTCCTCCTCCTCCTCCCCTCCTCCTCCCTCCCCCTCCTCCTCCCCCTCCCCTCCTCCTCCTCCTCCCCCTCCTCCCTCCTCCTCCTCCCCCTCCTCCTCCTCCTCCCCCTCCTCCTCCCCCTCTCCCCCTCTCCTCCTCCCCCTCCTCCTCCCCTCCTCCTCCCCTCCTCTCCTCCTCCTCCTCCCCCTCCTCCTCTCCTCCTCCTCCTCCCCCTCCCCTCCTCCTCCCCTCCTCCTCCCCCTCTCCTCCTCCTCCTCCCTCCCCCTCCTCTCCCCCTCCTCCTCCTCCTCCCCCCTCCCCTCTCCCCCTCCTCCTCCACCCCCTCCTCCTCCTCCTCCCTCCTCCCCCTCCTCCTCCCCTCCTCCTCCCCTCCTCCTCCCCCCCTCCTCCCCTCCTCTCCTCCCTCCTCCTCCCTTCCTCCTCCCCCCTCCTCCTCCTCCCCTCCTCCTCCTCCTCCTCTCCCCTCCTCCTCCCCCTCCTCCTCTCCTCTCCTCTCCACCCCCTCCCCCTCCTTCTTCTCCCACCTCCTCCTCCTCCTCCACCCCTCCCCCTCCTCCTCCTCCTCCTCCTCCTCCTCCTCCTCCCCCTCCTCCTCCTCCTCCCCCTCCTCCTCCCCCTCCTCCTCTCCTCCTCCTTCTCCTCCTCCTCCTTCTCTCTCCTCCTCCTCCTCTCCCCTCCTCCTCCTCCTCCCCCTCCCTCCTCCTCCCCCTCCTCCTCCTCCTCCCCCTCCTCCTCTCCTCCCCTCCTCCTCTCTCCCCCTCCTCCTCCTCTCTCTCCTCCACCTCCTTCTCTCTCATTATTTGTTTCCCACATCTCCTCATGGCTTCAGGTGGTGTAGAGCACAGTTAAAGCATTGTATTATAAAATACATCCCATAAAATACAAATATTAAAAATTATCATGAAATACATATAATAAAAAGCATAGTACAAGGATTAAAATGCAATACTAGTAGAATCTACATTTAACATTCGTAATATTAAATTGACTGGGTAGGCCTGCCTGAAGAGAGCACAAATTAAGCCCAAAACAGTACATTAAAAAGCTCATCAGCATATATTGAAATAAGCCAGAATATCCATTGCAGCCAATCAGAGAACTTCCCATACAGAGCTCGAAATTATCCCTTTGTTTTAGCTCGAACACTTCCGTTTTTCCACTGTACAAATCCGACTCTGACTTCTCCATAAATGGCAAGTGCGTATTAATTAGTAATAAGAAACTGACAGCAGTGGAATGAGGGCACAGGGTGTTTCACTCCCACCACGTCAATCACCAACATGCTTAGAAAAATGTAAGATTTATTTAATTGATTAACATTTTGAAATAAGAAAGCTTCCCTAAATTCCTATGAAAGTAAATATGTAATAAACAAGACATGTATCTTTTTTTAAAAAATAGCATATAGACATAGAATGATATATGGTATTAACTGTATATACTGATAGATTACTCTAGACTCTAACTGCACAAGGCATTCCTTCTGCCTCTGGCTCCACCGTACTGGCAGGCAGACCTTGGTCCCTGGAACTGGCCGGTGAAGAGGGCTGCTCAAGGCTGCTGCTCTCTCCTCCTCTCTCCTCCTCCTCCTCCTGATGGTCTTCCTCCTTCTCCTGCATCCAGCCTCAGCCACAATCCCCACCAAGGCAAGGAAGGCCAAGACCAAGGCAGCCACTCCCAGGTGAATGCTGATCTCAAGGGAAGATTCAACAGCTGTAATAACTACAATGACAACAAAGATGGAAGACAAATCAGGCGTTGGCTGCAATGTTAAATTGTTATTAACTGATCCCAGTGTCCTTGATTCAACCACTACTCCCAATCAAAATAGACTGATTGAATCACTCACTGAAATGGAAGTGATGTACAGAGCTATGGAACATTTAACTGTTGTCTTATTACAGGTGTCTCTTTTTAGTTGGGAACCCAGCCAGATTTAGCTCCAATTGCACAATATTTTGCTGTCTAGGCCCACACAGCAGCTTGGGAAGCAATTTTTTTCATGCTGTGCTCTTTCATATGTTCTAGTATTGCAAGAAGTACACTGAACCCTCATTTTGCTATGTAGTAATAACAGCTGGAAACCTATGTCAACAGCTTAGTTAAGAAGATGCTACCGACTGCCTCAAACGATGTACCAAGACAAGGAGTTCTGCTCTGGTTGAAGAGCAAGAATATTGTACATGATGTACTCTATTGGCAGCTTCAACAAAACTCCAGAAAGAGGTTTTTGGAACAAATGTTGCCCTTCCTCTGGTTACTATTACTAGTTTCATAAATATTTTATAGTCAGGCAAATATCTCATGCTCAGAAAAAAAGATGGGAGGGTATATTGATAAGGGCTAAATAGATGTAGTATGGCCTTTTAGGGACTTTGAAAATGGTTGCCTTTTCTCTCTCTCCAAGGTTTCTTTCAAAGATAAAGGAAATATATCCCACATTTTGAATGTATAAAGCTTTTGCAGTGGGCTGACCAGAATGGTAATCATTAGGAGCAGGCTTTGGATGGATCTTTTGGGGGAAACAATACTTATAACAAATATTTGGATGGTCTGTTGAAAAAGCTATTGAATATTTCTGGCATTAAGAGTGGGTTACAATCTTTTTAAATGTTTCCAGAAAAATTCAGTCATTCAGATTGCACTCAAAACTTTTTATTAAGTAGAACAGCTGATTGTAATAGAAAAGAAAGACTCTCATCCTGATCATGCCAGATTTGAGGAGAGATGAACCTACTGCAGGCTGTAGTAAGGAAAACTGGGAAAGGCGTGTACCTAAACACTCCACGCTGGCATCCTGGCTGTGGCTGCAACTCTGCTCTCCCCAGCTTCCTTTTTGGCACTCCTTCAGGGATGCTTCTTCTCCTGTACAGTTGATGCTCTCCAGCCAAATGGGGCCCGATCCTTGTCCATAGTGTGCTCCACCCAATGCTTTGGAGGCATTGCCACAGCCCAGCTGGCTGCAGACCACTTGGGCATCTTGTAAATCCCAGCCAGCATCACAAACGGTCCCCCATGCGTCATTGTGAAAGACTTCAACCCGCCCAGAGCAGGGACTTGTGCCATTCAAACGGAGATCTTTAGGAGAAAAAAGAGAAACTTGGTATAATATGAATGGTGATAATAGAGTTATAAGCAAAAGTTTTGTTATTAGAATTCACTAGACTAGTGGTTCTCAATCTGGGGTCCCCAGATGTTTTTGGCCTTCAACTTCCAGAAATCCTTACAACTGGTAAACTGGTTGGGATTTCTGGGAGTTGTAGGCCAAAAACATCTGGGGACCCCAGGTTGAGAACCACTGCACTAGACAATAAACACTGAATCCATTAATTTTACCTATATGTTGATTCATCATTCAACCAACGAATGGATATACTCTAGCTGGGAATAACAAGCAGGATGCCAGTCATTGTGATGACTTTGAATTAAACTGGTCAAATAAAAGAATTTAGTATGAGGATGCCTTGGTCTCAGACTTTGCCACCCTAACTAGCTTCTTGTTTCTTCAGTACTCAATGGGATAATTGGAACTGAGGTCTGCTCTCAACCAAACCTGGTACACATATCTATCATGACAAACTTAAAATAGTTGTGGGGTTTGAGAACAATGACAGAGGATGATGAGGGTTATGGCCCACCCACATCTGGAGTGGCATGTTAATCCCAGATACCCATAATGGATCTGAACTAATCTTGGTAAACATCTTCATCATGACCATCTTAAAACACTGGTGGGGCTTAAGGGGGTTGATAAAGGATGATGGAAATTGTAACCCATGTGTGCATCTAGACAAACCTGGTACAAGGACCCTTTGTTATTCCATTTACAATAATGATAGGATTTGGCAAGGAGGAGGGAAAGCAAGAAAGAGGATGATGGAAGCGGGAGTCCACCTAAATCCAGAGCACTGCGTCAACGCTGGTTCCAACGCAAACAGATCTGGCTGATGGGATTTCCAGAAAGAAAGATCTCAGATTGGTGGGATTTGCACCCACCCAGACCTAAGGATGATGGGAATTCCACCTGGCCAGATCTGATCCTGGTGGCATTTTCAGCCAGCCAGTTCAATCTCTTATGTGAGTTTCAGATTCAACAGGTTTGGGGCTCATAGAAATTGGAACCCATCAGATTTATTTATTTATTTACTTATTTATTTATTTACTTCATTTCTATACCGCTTTTCTCGCCCCTCAGGGGACTCAGAGCAGTGTACAACATACATCCAAGCAAAAATGCAATGCCTCATTATACAAATCATATAAAGCATAACATAAATCACTAGAAACAATAAGCATATAAATAACATTTAAAACCATTAAACATAATATCCCCATACACAAATAAAACATTGGACCAATCCTTTAAGCACCCTACCAGGGCCTCCCCCTTCCCCTCCCATGATCCTAAGGCAGTGCCTCTCTGCTGGGCCTTGTCTCAGCCAGGCAGTCAGGGCCCAAGTCTGCAAGGAGTCAGTCACCAGGGGCTGAGGTCAAAGGCAGCCTGCAATGGACAAACACTGCCTTCTCCTCCAAGCTCCCTGCTGCCGATGTTCTTTGGCTGTCTTGGATGGTGCTTTTTAAAAGGTCCCATTATACAGCTATACATTTTCTAATGGGGCCATTAATAAAACCATAAAGCTAACCATGATTTTTTTCTCATGAATAGCATTTGAGAATGCATATGCAGGCAATGCCAGGTACACCTAAGCTAATCTGTTTATGTACATATTAAAAGTGAAAATATGTGTGTGTGTATGTGGCTGGGGTGTCCACTTCCACAAACAGGCTCCCACTTCTACAAATAGCTATAACCCACAGTGCTGAGGAGTCACCAAAAGAACTCCCTCCAATGACATTTCAGGTTATAGCGAGAGTCATGAACATGTAGCCCAACCCTGCCAATGTCTTCCCCAAATACTATGGCTCATCACCCAAGGAATGCTTTCATTCAGGGACAATTTCATCCTAGATTTTATGTGTTTTCTCCACCACAGGTAGGCATCCCAGGGTTCCTTTCTTTCTCCATTGGTGTGGAATTTACATGATCCCACTCATTGCCTCTTCCTTAACCCTTAACCACAGTTATAAGGGAAGGGAAAATAGCAGATGAGGAGACACAAATAAACAAAGATAATGGGTGACAAGCTGAAAATGTGCTTTTAAAATACAAACGGGATGGCTTCTAATCTGAAGCGGTCCAGAATAGTACAATTCATGACCGCTTCAGATTAGAAGCCATCCCGTTTGCATTGCAATGTGCTTTGTTTATAGGAAGTCCACAAACATTAGAAAGATAATAAACAATTAATAAATATACCAGATTTATTAAGGGTGATATGAATAAAGCCAGAAGGATAGTGATAGCAATGGAAAACTCATTAAAATTGGAAATACTAGAAACAACAACAGATAAGGAAGACAGATATATATTAATAATATGTAAAATAAATGGCAGGATATATACAATAGGAAATGTATATGGCCCAAATACTTTAGAAAGTGGTTTAGGAAAGTACAAGGAATTTATCAAGGGGAGCTAATAGTTGGAAGGGACTTTAATATGGACCTTAGAAATATGCAATCTACATGGATAGATTGCATATTTTAAAAAATCACTAATAGGTCTAGAATTTTAAATACACAAACATAACCTATCTGGATTTCAGATCATGTGTCTATTATAGAATTAGTGGAGTTAAACATAGAGGAGCCAGATGAAACGGAGGCAATAAAAACTTGAAGACATAAAAATTTAATAAATAAGACAAAAAACGTAAGAAATAACTATTGGAAGAGATAAAAAAGGGGAGCTCAGCAAGTATAGGAACAGTCTAGGATACAGTGGTAATTAGGGGTTATTGCATAGAAAAAGAATTTGCAGTAAAGAAATAGTAAGATAAAAAATGGAAAGAATGCTTAGAGAAATAAAGGAAACACAAAAACTATTACAAAGTAAATATCAAACGCAGGTGAAAGTAAAGTTGGAAAAATTAAAGAAACAATGAGAAGAAATGAATAATTTGGACTTCTGGAAAAAAGAGATGATTATTAAAATAATTTCCAAAGACAAATTACAAATACAATGAAAAAAACTGGCTAATTATGTGAAAGAGAAAGGTAGAGTCATACAGTTAAAGAATAAATATAATAAAAAGATAAATTTGAGCAAGAAAATAAGAGAGGTATTTGTAGACTTTTACCAGGACTTATATAAAAAGCAAATACATGGAGGAAGTTTTAATGAAAATATCCAGAAGATATTAGATAGAGAAGACAATGGGAAACTAGGAATAAAAAAAATAGAGCAGGTGATCAATACTTTGAAAAATGCAAAATCCCCAGGATGTGATGGTTACACTGCAAAGTTTTACCAAGAAACAAAAGAAATAATAATACCAGAATTGAAGAATTTATTTAATAGCATAATGAAAAGAGGACAACCCGCAGATACATGGAGAGAATCAGAGATAATCCCGCTGGATGCAGAGGCTGTTGATAGGTTCATAGCTGCAGCTAGACCGACCACTTGCTCCCTTGATCAGTGTCCCTCTTGGTTGGTGAAATCCTGCCTGGAGGGATTACGTGACCCTCTGTTGAAGATCATAAACAGCTCCCTTGAGCAAGGAGTTTTTCCAGAGAGTTTAAAAGAGGCGGTGGTCTCTCCCTTGCTGAAGAAACCAGATTTAGTTTGTTCGGTTCCCTCCAGTTACCGCCCAGTTTCGAATCTCTCGTTCCTGGGCAAGGTGATTGAGAGGGCAGCAGCGGAGCAGTTGCAGCAGTTCTTAGATGACACAGCCGGACTAGATCCCTTCCAGTCCGGCTTCCGTGCGGGGCATGGGACAGAGACTGTGCTGGTCTCCATCACGGATCACCTTCGATGCCAGCTTGAAAAGGGCGGGTCGACGCTGCTTGTGTTATTGGATCTCACAGCAGCATTTGACACAGTCGACCACAATCTTTTGACCTTGCTGCTGTTGGAGTCAGGGGGACAGCTTTAAATTGGCTGTCCTCCTTTTTTCACAACTGTGGACAGCGAGTGGAGAGGGGAGGCCTGGTCTCTGAGAGGTCCCCTCTACTCTGTGGGGTTCCTCAGGGGGCCATTCTCTCCCCTCTATTGTTTAACATCTATATGCAACCACTTGCTCAGCTGGTTCGAGGTTTTGGGCTTGAGTGTTACCAGTACGCTGATGACACTCAGCTTGTGCTGAAGATGGAAAGCCGACCGGATTCTGTACCTGACTATTTCCCTCAGTGCCTCGAGGCCGTTACTGGATGGCTGCGTGCCAGCAGGTTGAGGGTGAATCCAGCAAAGACGGAGATCCTATGGCTGGGTCGACCGGGCAGTGGGGATATCCAGCTGTCTACCCTGGACGGTGAGGCACTACGCCCATCATCATTGGTCAAGAGTCTGGGAGTCCTTTTGGACCCTCTGCTGATGATGAAAGCTCAGGTCTCCGCTGTTAGCAGAACCACCTTTTTTCATCTGCGGCAGGCTAGACGGCTGGCCCACTACCTGTCCAGGGACGACCTAGCTACGGTGATCCAGGTCATGGTCATCTCAAGACTGGACTACTGTAACGCCCTCTACATTGGCCTTCCTCTGTCGGTGATCTGGAAGCTCAAGTTGGTACAAAATGCAGCTGCTCGGCTTCTTGCGGGAATTCCGATGAGATGCCACATAACACCAATCTTACTGCAGCTGCATTGGTTACCAATTGAGCACCAGATCACTTTCAAAGTGATGGTACTTACCTTTAAGGCCCTGCATTGTCTGGGGCCGATGTACCTGAGAGACCGCCTCACCCCCTATCAACCCCAGAGATCCCCAACTGGAAATTCCCAGTGTCAAGACCTTGCATCTAGCAGCAACCAGACACAGAGCCTTTACAGCAGTGGCACCATCACTCTGGAATACTCTGCCACCTGAAGTCTGTGCCTTGCGGGACTTACATATTTGTTCCTGCGGGCCTTTGATCTTTGATGTTGCTGTTTTTAAATTGTTTAAATTGTTTTAAATTGTGTTAGATTTTAGCTTTCTTGTAAGCCGCTCTGAGCCCCAGGGGAGTGGCGGCATATAAGTTCGAATAATAAATAATAAGTTATATAGTAACATGAGAGCAAGAATAAGAGTAAATGAAGGCTTAACAGAATAAAATAGAAAGAGGAGTAAAACAAGGTTGCCCTCTGGGAAGATGTGAACACAACGATGGACAGGGTATAGGGATTTTGTCTTTGAAGATCCCCACCGCTATCACCAATTGTACATATGTGGATGTTATGGAGGGAATTAACCTCAAGCCTCAATTGTGTAGAAGAGTATATTATGGAGGAGGCCAATTATTATTTGTAAATTAAGGTAACTGCCACCAACGTGAGGTATTTGAGATCTCGCTCTACAGACGCAGATTAGTTGAGATGAGATGGTTTTCAACAAAAGATAACAAGTTTATTGTGTACAAAGCTTATGGTGGCAGGCTGTTAAATAACTTATGGAACTTTGAATATCACGTGGTTTATAATACAGTCCACTCTTCCAGATAACACAGCTTGTGGCTAACTTTCACTGAGGTGAAGCTCTCTGGTGAACAATGTTTCACTACTATAAATAGCCTTTAATCTCTGATCTCTAGTCCTTCCTTAACTAGGGATCTTAACTAGGCTTCCTTTAGTCTTCTTGGACTAAAGAATCTGGCCAGGTTTATTTCTTCAGCCCTCTTAGACTGAAAAAAATCAGCCGCTCACACCCAAGTCTCTCTCTCAGGCCTTTCCAATCCTCTCTCTGCTGTTTTTTTTAAAACGCACATAAATTTTCCTGCTTGGCTCCGCCCACTTCTCCCTCTCATGAGCTATCCAGCCTCGTCTCCTTGGCAACGCTCACTGTGGATTCAAACCAGATGACTCCAGTTTTAGCTACTGTTACAAACACAAATATATACTCTAACAGTTAAACACAAACATAATAACAATGACTTCTGCACACCCTCTATTTCTGCTATTATTTGTGGTAGGAATGGAACCTCTAGTAGATAGAATCCAAAACAATGTCAGGATAAAGGGATATGAGATTAAGAACAAATAATTGAAAATAAATCTTTATGCGGATGACATTTTACTAATAATAGAAAACCTAGTAGAAGCAATAAGAAAAGTACAAATAATTCTAAAACATTTTGAAAGATACTCAGGATTGAAAGTGAATATGAGTAAATCAGAAATGTTTAAAACATCAGTGGGGATTTGGGAGAATGGAATATAAAGTAGAAACTCATTATCCTATTTACTGCCTTACAATTGTTATAAGAAAGAACTCTCTGCCCTGGAGTGTGGTGGAGGCTCCTTCTTTGGAAGCTTTTAAACAGAGGCTGGATGGCCATCTGCCAGGGGTGATTTGAATGCAACATTCCTGCTTCTTGGCAGGGGGTTGGACTGGATGGCCCATGAGGTCTCTTCCAACTCTTTGATTCTATGATTCTATGATTCTAAAGCACAATTTGCAAACCACCACAGCACTTGCACATTTCACCACAATTTCTTCCCTGGGTTTGGACTCTTTTGAGGGAACTGTGGAAATTTCCTGAATTATCAACATTTCTTTAGTTTGCATCAGTTACCTGAGCACACAACACTGGCATCTTCTTCATGACGACACTCGTATAATGTGTGCATTTTGTAAATGCAGTTGTACAGAGAAACCTCTGTCCCATTGCATTGGACTTCATTTATCAAGATGGGATCTTTTCCTTTTCCAAAGTGGGCTTCTTCAGGAGCTGACACAGCTTCTCCACAGCCGAGTTCTCTGCACACGACTTGAGCATCTCTCAGGTCCCATCCATCATCACACACTGTTCCCCAAGTCCCATTCCGGAACACTTCGACTCTCCCAGAGCAATGGTTTGGACCATTCACCAATCTAGTTTCTATCAATGTTGGAAGAATGAAAAATGCTTTATTGATCTATAGTTCACTTCCCCGTTTTCTTCATCATATCTTAGTAGTCATGGGGCCATTCATAATAAGTGTGCACAAGTAGGAAGTTAGCTGGCTATTGTGGAATCAATATAGAAACAAGGCTTTGTTGTGCAGGTTATCCTATCTCTTAGTAATACTCATTAGTTGTCATTGACTTCACCTGCCTTCCCTCAAATTCCAATAGTCCACACCTACATACTGCAGCTGGCAAATGAATGTGTCAGGACACACAGTTTGGAAAACTCTGGTCAAAGTATTTCATTGTCTAAGGGCATTAATACATAAGTATATTCCTATTGTTATTTTATACAATACCCCCATTCAGTTTAGCTTAAATGCTCACCAGGCATGGATCCTCTTACCTGCGATCCTAGCTCTAAATTCTACTAAACTATCATGACATTACTTGTTCAGCACTTAAGTCACATGCATCCTCCAATGTTCCATTGCTGGCCCTGGAGCTAAAATCTATTTATTTATTTATTAAACTTGTACCCCGCTCTTCTCACCCCCAAAGTGGGACTCTGGGCGGCCCTTTTTGAAACAAATGTGTCTGGTGGAGCATCAATAAATGTTTATGTATTATATCATGCACACTTTGAGAACCCCTGTTTTAGAGGATATGAAAGACATTTCCACCATATTTTGAGTCTTTTTTCTAATCTACACTCCATAGAACAAKGCCTTGCTGCAACCTCCAACAGGCATTGATTATTTTGACTGAATGTGATGTATAATTTTATATATGAATTCAGAAAGAGATTTGCAAAGAATGAAGGAMAGAAGGCATGTGGTGCCTACCTCATTTTCTTTGTCCCATGTATTACCACATAGGCCTCAATACCCTAAAACTGTGTTTCTCAACCTGTAGGTCTCCAGGTTTACCAGCGGTTATGATTTCTGGAAGTTGAAGGTCAAAACATCTGGGGAGCAACAGGTTGAGAACCACTGCCTTAAAGACATCATATCCCATCTGGGAAACTAAGCAGTGCAGCCGTTTAACACTCAGACAGAAGACACGTAATGAATATCATGTGCTGT